CTCTAAAAAGCCTCTTAAAATTTATCATACACTATATGCACCACAGGAAACACCAATGAAGAAGTTGCACACTTAACTTAATACTTTACTAACGTAAAACCAGTTCCCTACTAAAGTAATCACAGAAACTATTAATGAATTTAACAAACTCAAAAATACTACAAAACAAGGGAAACCTCATCATTTGCACTATACCAAATATTAGCATATCTCTACTAGACATTTCTAAAAGACCAGCACATAAATATAACCTTAATACCTGGATTCGTTTTGAGCCCTGGAATGAAAATTAAACACCATTAAAATATTATATAACAAACCCACCCCACCAGAAAACATTTACAAAATAAAGTATAACAGTTTTTTTTAGCCTTTTACATACAGGAAACAGGACGTAACTTAAAGATCAGGTTAAAAGAACATAAAAAAAAACCCTACTTCTCAAGTCCATGAACAACAAAAAAAAAGTTTTTCTTAACAGAATGTCATAGTACTAAAACATGAGCCTGACATTAACCGAAGAAAAATCAGAGAAGCTTAATTAATAAATTCAAACAATCCCACAATTAACAAATACCCAGGCACTTCTGTATATGTCTTTGATTGTTATTTCCCTAGACATTCCTAATTTTATACAAACATTTCATGTAACATATTCTATATTTTTGTTATATTTATTCACTTTTTGTTTCTTTTTAGCCACGAATAAATAATCTGTCAATTCACAAGGATTAACTTGCACGTGCATGAGTAACCACTATCAATTCTAAACTTTAAATACATTGTTAGATTGTTGATTTAAATACTAAAACCTTCCTTACCATTAAAATTTGTGTACTTGTGATCGAAATGTCATACCTGTTCTAAAAACAAATCTTCCTTACTGTAAAAGCTGTAATTTGTAATAAAATAATATTTAATCAGTACGTAAACTAAAAACTAAAATTGTCAATATGTCAACAACTCATTGTGACACATAAATTAAAAATTATAAAAAATGTAACTCAAAGTGTTAACACCTCATTAGTGACACATAAATTAAAAATTATAAAAAATGTAACTCAAAGTGTCAACACCTCATTAGTGACACATAAATTAAAAATTATAAAAAATGTAACTCAAAGTGTTAACACCTCATTAGTGACACATAAATTAAAAATTATAAAAAATGTAACTCAAAGTGTTAACACCTCATTAGTGACACATAATTTAAAAATTATAAAAAATGTAAGTCAAAGTGTTAACACCTCATTAGTGACACATAAATTAAAAATTATAAAAAATGTAACTCAAAGTGTTAACATCTCATCAGCTACAGCTTCAAGAAACAAATCCTAAATTTTAAATACAAAAAATGTTCTCTCTCCAAAACATTTAGCTTTGGAGATCACTCTTTCATAACTGTAAAAGAGTGGTACAAGAAAGTTAATCAAAGTCATTAAACACCAATTAGATCATCAATAATTATTAATTATGAATAATTAATGATTTATAAATAATAATGTATTTTCTTTACTTTCTCTAATATAGAAAAAATTAACATATTTTGTTATTTTTTCTTATAAACCACAAAACAGCTAAAAACACAATAACTCACAAACATTCCAACAAGTTAATCATAACTTCATCCAATAAAAAAAACTATACATTTTACTTAATAAAAAATACAACTTCCAGTTATATGTTGACTCTGTGAGAAATTTTGTTTTTTTACCCATTTAATTGGGGCAATTATTTTCTTGAAACAGTTTGTTTCCATCTCAAGAAATGCCATTTTTTACACATTACACTCCATCAAAACTAGCCAGCTAACCCTTCCATTTATCACACATCACATTCCCTCACATCTAGCTACTTCTCTCTTCCATTTATCACACATCACATTCCCTCAC